CATCACCGTAACGCTGCTGACCCATGACCCACACGCACGCGGAAGAGCAGCGGCAGTCGGGGTTGTTGTAGGGGATTGCCCGAGACGCATTAGCCGACTAAATGTTTTCTATCTTGTCGCAGTGGCAGCGTTGAGGATGACGATTTGTGCAAATAAAAAAAACATTTAATAACATCGTGAATAAACACGTAGGGGCGACGTTGACCGAGCGATGGATGCCACGGTGGTTTGCATGAATCCTTGCGAGCTGGGGGTCGGTGGCATCACGGGTAATTCGATTTGCCCCTGGCCTCGCTCACGTCAACTTGTTAAACTACCGGCCAAGTACCAATGAGCTCTGTAGCTATTTGGTAAAAGCGACTTGGTCATCGCAAATGATAGCCCAACGAAGTGGCTGATCATCACGTGGACATTGAAAGCAGCAGCCAAACACTCTAAACGCGTGGTGACGTTGATTCTCAATGGAGGGGAAAACCGGAGGACCCGGAGAAAAATCAACGCGATCTCGTGGGGAGAGCATGCAAACTCCAAATATACAGCAGACGGTCAGGGTCATAATCGAACGCATGACCTCCTGTATACCAGGCGAGGTAGTTAACATCTCATCGCCACCGCGGTGCCCTTTGTACCTTGCAGCGGAGGCAGATGCGACGAGTATTCCCAGCGACGCTCGCGCAGATTAATAAATTCAAAGCTCCACAGCTAATCGCGTGAGTGAACCGGTCGTGTGACCTCCCCGCGTGACCCACACCGCCCCCCTCCCCGCGTGACCCACACCGCCCCCCTCCCCGCGTGACCCACACCCCCCCCCCCTCCCCGCGTGACCCACTCGGCGTCTTGTGGCTATCGGCCACGTGAAGATTTTGGTTTACGGGCTCGTAGGATTGAGGAGTTTGGCCACCCCTGGTCGACACGGTGAATATCGTTCTCACGTGGAGATCTGTGATGATGTGGCAACGTTCGGTGCGAAATAAGTTCAACGTGCATAGAACACCCAAGGTTCCATTATCCTGCTGCGGTGTTTCTCAACTCACCGGTTAACGACGCACGCACCACCAGGAGAGAGAAAATAAAAAAAGTACAATCCAGACAAGAGTCCGCTGCCATAAGCGAGACATTTCTGGCATTCAAAACCAACCCCCTTATTTTAAAAATCTCAATAGTTTACCCATGCACACGATCACAGCGGAATTCAACTCTTTGGCCCCGCGTTCTGAGTCACATATACGGCTCAAGGCTTGGCTCTGGCTCAACGTTAAGCCGGCTTGAAGAGCCACGCTCACGATTTCCATGGGCCGAAGCCACCCATCGGCCGAGCCGCCTCCACTTCGTCCATCTCATTGCGGGGAGCAGCCGAGCCGGGTTCAAGAGGTCAAGCCGGAGAGCCGGGCCGAGCCGAGACTAACCGCGACTGTCAACACGATCCCCCTCTGCAAAATACAAAGATTGAAAACAACAACGAAAAGTGGCGCGATCCAAGAGCCCACGTCGCCGGCGAAAGCCGCGTTTCCACACGGTTCGCCCGTTTACGGGTAGCCCGCAGAACTAAAGCTTTTTGTTTTTAAAGTGCGAGAAATTCGAAGGGGGATGGACATTTTACGTCACAAGCTCCTTGGCCGCGCACGTCTGCGCCACACCAATCTCGACGCGTACTCGCTCGCTTGCGCGTTCGACGCTCTTCCCGGAAGCACTTCGCCCAACCCAGCAGCAGCAGCAGCGGCCGCGGCCGCCTCCGCCTGGATTTGCTCTTCACGAGATCGCTCGCCAACAGCTCGCCGGGGTTGCCGTGCAAAACGCAAGGCGTCCCGTGGTGGCCTTCGATGGAATACTATAACGGACAAAAAAAAAAGGGGGGTCGAGTGAGCAGCCCTGCAATTACTTGCTCACACCGACGCTGGGACACGGCTGCCTCCACTCGAGAGGGAGATCGAGAGAGCGCCTATAGATGGTTTAATTGGCCTACTTTTCCACGGTGGCCAGACGTCTCGGAAGAGGCGGGACGCACCCACGCTTTACCCCACCGCATGCGGCCTTTGCCGACTGACTTGGCTGTAGCGAACCCAATTCTGCTGCTGGGTGGACAGAGGCGGTCGGCGGGGGGGGCACCTACAAAAGGATCATCAAACATCCACGGCAGCTCGAGGCGTGCATGCAGAGCCTCCTTCAAGGCTATCGAAGAAGAGTGAGAGAGAGAGAGAAAAAATAAAATAAGAGGAGGCGTTTAACCCCAACAGACGGTACCTTTTGCGAGGATTCAAGTGCTGCATTAACCACGCGCCGGACTTGTGGTGAGCACGCACATAGAGAAAGTGACATCTTCGCAAGCTGCTGCTGCTGCTGATGATGACAGCCTTTGCCAGTTCACATCCGTTCGGTAAAAGGTGCCGAGGCGACTGTTTCTGAATGACACGTGTTCCTCCTCCTCCTTCACGCCAGAGTTGATGAGCACCGATGTCTCTGTGCTCATTGCCACACTTTGAATTCGTGTTTTTTTTGTTGCTCTCGTCATGTTGTGGTGGCCCAGGTGACCCTTGCAAATGAGATTAAATCCTAATCGCTCTCTCTCTCTCACACCTGGTTACACAGAACAAAACTTGACTTGGTTTATATTCTTGGTAAAGTCACGTAGAAGGGAAACAATAAAATAATACAAATATAAAACAATAAAAAACAATAATATTGTTTCCCTTCTACGTGATTTTACCGAAAGAACCAAGAATATGAATCCCTGCAGTCACGAAAGCTTTAAATCAAAATTTGACTTGGTTTGCTGAAATAGGAGGAAACTAAAGGTGCACTAAAAGTACTTTTATGCGGGAACGCTCAAATCGGAAGGGGAAACACGAGAAACATTGGTTTGAGAACATCCCTCATTCCTACAGTAGAACATGCGTTTCGTGTTTTTTGCTGAATCGTCATCGAGAAATGATTGAGCGGCTGAAATTAAATGAGCGAATGGCTCGTGACTAAAGGAAAGCAAATCCAGTTGAAGCATACATTTGGGCTCCTTGTAGAATGCCAAAGCAGCACCGCCGATCTGCAGGTCGGCCACACGTGTGATGGCTCACTCAACAAGCGAAACTGAATAATAAGAGGTTTTCCCCTCTTTCTGGCAACAAAACAGTCGTGTTAAGATGTTAAAACACCAAACTGAAACCTTTTACAAGGAATCACGTTCTGCGTTAACCACAATGCTTCTGGTCAGACGTCTTTTGGCGTCCTCTGGTCTAGCACCAATTGAGACGAGGCTCAAAAGAAAGCTGTCTCTGGTGTGGACCAATCAGTTTCAAGGACAATGCAAATATTATCAGAGTATGTTTTTTGTTTGCATTCTGACCACAAGTATTGTGGTTAACGCAGACATGATTCCTTGTAAAAGGTTTCAGTTTGGTGTTTTAACATCTTAACACAGTTGTTTTGTTGCCAGAAAAAAAGGGGAAAGACCTATTAGTATATTTTGGTACTGGCAAAGGAGGTCCCATGAAGCTAAACTATACTTTTTAATTTATTTTACCAGGTAAGGCCCACTGAGCTACAGAGCTCTTTCAAAAGCGACCCGGCCACAAATGAAAGCTCAACAAGGCGGCTCACCATCGCGTGGAAACAAGTTCAACGTTGACACCTTCCCTCCACGTGTTGCGCAACGCACCGATTTTAAACCGCTGAAAAGTTACTTTACGTTACGCAAACACGGCTAACGCCCTACTGAGCCACCCAAATCAATCGTGGCAAGCGATCGGTCGAGTACAGTAATCGATCGGCGGGCCCCAGCGCTTAGTTTGGGGGGGGGGCGGGGAGGGGGTTTCTCCGCTTGTTGGCGAGGTTCACGGTTCGATTGCAGCTAACCGCCCCGGTTAATACTGCGAGCGTATTAAACCGTAACGGCACGCCGCCGCCGCCGCCGTTGTCGGCTTCACGGTGGACGTCACAGAAACGTGTGCCGTCGTTTGCAAGAGCAGGCCATCATCCATCGTGTGTCGTTGGCGGAGTCACGGTCCAAATGTTCATCGTTTGCAAAGTTACCGCTAATTACTCGATTGGAATATGCAGTACATAGCAATCATTGCACCCCCCTCTCCCCCATTGCCCTCATGAGTTTCCTCTGATGCCTCCTGGGTAAAAAAACACGTGAAAATAATCATCAGAAAAGATTAACGAAGTTGCCATAATACAGGTTTTTTTTTGGTTTAGAACGCGTAAATATTTAAATGTGTCGTTAAACCCGCCACAGCCAATTAGTAAGGCTTGTCACGTAAACAGAACGTGGCTGTCGCCTGATGAAGCTAGTTGTAATTACTGGCGAAACGTCGTACTCAGATTGTAAATGTTGTGGCCTGGCTCTCCAACACACCGGTGTGCTGTACTAGTGACGAATCGGCCACGTTCTGTTTAGGTGACAACCCTTACTAGTTGGCTGTGTCGGGCGGTGGCGGGTTTAACGACACATTTATATATTTACGTGATCTAATCCCAAAAAAAAACCTGTATTATGGATGATATTGGTCGCGAAAGCTTACTTACGTGTTAAACGTAACACAGTTTGATAAAAAAAAAAATCCTTTCTTTTATTGCCACGTGTGGCTCGGGATTCGGAGATGGGCGAGGCTTAGTGACATCACGTCCGTGTTGTGCTGGGCGTGGCTTGTAGGGGGGTTTCCCACCTTCTGGAAACATGATGTAGGGGGCGGCCGCCAATTTGAAAGAGGCGCGAGTAATTAACCACAAGAAAAAAAGTGTTCACTTACAATTTGGAGTCAATCAACATAACCGACTGTGAGTCCCAACTCTAATGGTCAACACAGTGCAGGCTAAAGGGGCATGCCAACCCCCCTACCCTCATCTCTCACATAGACAGCCTGGCCCGGAGAACCCACTCGAACCCAGCAGCAGATCTAGGAAAGGAAATGTAGCCTGCCTTGCTTGGTGCATCCATGACAACACAAGGCAGTGACGTGCAAATTTAACAGAGGCACAAACATGCAAGCAAAATGACCAAGGTGATGGGTATGATGGTTACCTTTATGAACACACGTGATAGACTTTATCATTAAACATAACCATGCTGCCACACATTGAGTGGTGTGTATGTCTGTGGGGGGAGGGAGGGGGGGTGGGGAAACACGCAATCTGTAATTTTTGCGTTGAAATTCCACGACGCTCCCGTGTGACTTCGGTCCAACCGATCGCAGTGCCACACTCTCCGTTGCATGCAACAACGTACGAATAGGTTCACCTCGGAGACGCAAACCAAACCGGGGGACATGCAGCGAGAAGAAAAAAACAGGGGAGGGTGGGGGGGGCAGAACTTCACGAGCGATGTATCGAAATGCAGATTATTGTCCCCGAGGACGACCGACAGATTTTACCGGCTCAAACACACAAACAGCAGAAAGGACAATCCAAGGGGAAAAACCAGGGCAGTTTGCGCTAGCGTAGTGGCAGACCCGGACGCAACTCTGCCGACTCCCCGGTGTTGCAGCCGTCCACGGTAAATGAAGCAACGTGGATAAAAACGCCTATTAAAGCAAAGCTTTCTCAGGAATGGGATTTTTTTGTAAAATATAAATTGCACCGGTTATCGGCAGCTTTGGACACTACTTGCATTTCACGAAATTGAAAAAAATGCACGGAAAAAAAGTTAAAGTGTCAATTTGTGAAGTGGGTTTTTTATTGGGAGGGTCGAGAAAGTGACATGCATGGCCTTGATGTACCGTCCGGGGGTAAGTCTCTCTCTGCTGGCCATCGAACAAAGACGGTCACCACCGCATCACGCGTTTTTAGATGCGCTTCTGCGGCCGTCTGGAACGCTCTTCCTTCCCGAAATTAGGAAGCCACTGGAACTGTGCGCTTTTAAATCATCATCTAGATTGACAAACTAATTTCTTTAGAACCGATTTGTTGTGCGTAGTTTTCCGTCCTTCCACCGCACCTCCAATTAGTGCGGTTGGCCACGTACGGTGCCAAAAGTTCAACATACACACACATGGATTAATGGGTACGTAAGAGCAAGCTTGCATCGATGTCTGGAGTACACGGCAAGGACCAGTGACAATCCCCATGAGAATAACCATCGTCAACACTCGGGGAAATGAACGTCCGATTCGCGACCAGCACCGCAAACTTGCACGTGTTCGTTAACGGCCGAGCCATTTTAAACATCTTACGTCGTTGGGTCCGCTTTTTTTTATCGTGTATTTTTATTTATTTCGACTCTATATGTACACGGCAAAACGAACGCGCGTCTGGGTTGGCCGAGACGGGGGGGGTGCGGGGGGGGAGGGTTCCGGATACGTTGCAACGCCACCACGCAGCGCGGTCGACCCTTCCGCGGGATGCTGCTGCTGCTGCTGCGCGTTTGCTGTGTTCCTGCCTCCAACCCATCTCGACCAATCGTAAAGACCGAACTGACCCTGGAATTACAGGGATCCGGGGCCTCTCCTGCAGGGTGTTTAACTAATTCGTGGGTGGGTCGGTGGTGGCAGAGTCATAAAAGTGCGGTCAGGGTTAACGTTCGCGTGAAAATAAATCTGCATTGACGGTAGTAACGGGCAAATACAAAAATGCTCCTTATTAATAGCACTTTAAAGAACTTCGTGTACAGCTCTCCGTACATTTCGGGGGTTGTACCGCGTGTTGTTTGGACACAACGTCTCGACGTTTCAGCGCACGTGCTGGGAGGATAAAACCCAACAGCGAGTGACCTGCGTCAAGAGCTGAACCAATACAGCAGCGCCGGCTGCATAGCCCACTGAGCGATGTGTAGCTCTCTTTGCAGAAGCGACCTGGCCACAAATGATAGCTCAACAAAGCGGCTCATCATGTTGCAATGTACAGCAGCCAAAATACTCGACATGCACGTGGGATTTTAACCGTGGAGAGAAAAACCAGAGGACCCGGGTGAAAACTCCACGCGACCACGGGGAACGAAAACATGCAAACCCCAAATATAAAACAGGCATCGGGGGTCGGGATCGAACCACGACCTCCTGCATACCGGGCGAGGGAGCTAACATCTCGCCATGGCGGCGCCCGTGTAATCGAGTGAGAGGGTACGAGGCTCAATTCAGTCCCAGAAGAAGGTCCCGGGCACGTGGGGCGAAACGTCGGACCTCGTGGCGAACAACGTCAGGGCGAGCGTCACAACCAGAACACGCGGCCGAGAGCTACGCACAGCAGCAGCAGCACAACCGCGGAGACCTACGCAGTAGTAACTTATCGTACGCTAAATACATATTGGCACCTAACTTACGATTACAAGATCAGAAAAGAATAATAATTGTCGGGGAAAATGTATTGAGAAAACAAACTTCACGCTTTCTTCCCGGCACAGCATGCACTTCAAAGTCTACTTGCAGCAGCCCTTGTTTTACCGTAACAAAATACGGGGAGCGGAGCGTCATCCATAACAGAAAATAACTTTAAAACAACCGTTCAACTTTAAACGGTGAAAGCCAAGGGGCGGGTGGTGGGGGGGGGGCGGGTGGTTGGAGGGGCGGTGGTTGGGGTGGGTCTGACACCGTTCTGACTAAATGACCACGGGCGGACCGCGCTGCCGATGTCGAGAGGAGCGGCACGAAAACGGAACGCAGCGCGGAAGAGCACGGGCGCCATGGGGCTCTCACGCAACCAGCGAGGCCACGGCCGTTCACCCCGCCGCCCTGTGTGTCTATCGCGTCGGGGCAAATGACGCACGAAATAAGGGGGACCCGGGCACACCAGGGCCGCGCGGTTGACTTCTTTCTTACAGCCGCGCTGCTCCCGGCCCCAACGCGTTGCGAGCGGCGTTTCAGCGTGGACATTATTGGGCTCGTCCCCCGATAACGTACTCACGCCGGCTTTTCAAACTCGATCGTCCGCCCGCCCGCCCGCCCGCCCGCCCGCCCGCCACCTCGGTCGTGTTTTTGTTTGGAAGCTGTCGCACTGCTCGAAGGCACAACTCGTCGTGGGTTGCGAATGAAACTGGAATTAAAGTTAAACATTTTTTTTGTTTTACATTGATTTCTTGTTAAAATGAGCATCGCAGCATGCTAATCCCCTATCTATTTACAGTACTGAGCCAGTGGTGGAAATTCCCCATTCCTATGATGGGGGGGGGGGGAGGGGTGGGAGGGAAACAAGTCTCTAAATAAAGTGGTACTTCGTTGATCCTGGAGGGATGATGGGCTGAGTGCTGAACCCCCATCTAGGAGTTGAACTTCGACTTTCTGACTGCGAGTCGCTCTCACTCAACCGCCGAGTCACCTGGCCCAGTTCCAACAGTAAAACGATAATCAGTTTAAAAAAAAAAATCGATCGATCGATCGGTCGGTCGATATTCAAGAAACATTACCGAAGGAATAGTAACAGTTTTTGTTTTGTTCCAAGTGACGAGTTTGTTTGTTTTTCGTTTAGTAATCGCCGCTGACAATCGATCGCCTCCTCCCCGCCGGCGGCTATTTCGTTTGGCGACGTCGCAACGTTGAAAACGAGCGGAAGCAATGAAGTGTTACAAAGCGGCCGGGGAAGCTGCAGGCAGGCCGCACGGCCACGGCCCGCCACTCAAGGCGGAGGGGGCACGAAGGACCTGCAATTTAAACGCGCGCCATTGACACAACAAAACCTCCGGCCCTAGGTGAATGGGGGGGGGGGGGGGGGGCTATCGGCAGTGTTCAAGCCTATTGTCAATACCCCCCCACCCCCACTCCCACCACGGGGGTTGACCATACTTCACCACGAGGTTTTGTTTAACGAGGGGGGGGGAGGAGGGGGGTAGGCCGTGGGTTGTGTGGGGGGGGGGGCCGGAAAATAAAAAAACCCAATGGGAGGCGTCTAAAAACCAATTGGCCTTCGCCGGACCCCCTACGAACTGTCGAGTCCATTCGAGTGTCATCTCCCTCTCCTGCGAACGCCGTTGGCGCGAACTGATTTGTGTATCAAGTTTTGCTGCGGGGGGTGGGAGGCGCGGGGGGGGGGGTATTGTCTCACGTTAGCCAATTACCTACAACGTGTGTATTAGCTGCGGCTGTTGTTGTCGTCGGCCTGGACCCCCCCCCCCCCACCCCACTACCACAATTTCCTTCCAATCCCTCCTTTTCCAGAGGGCCTCTGAACTGTTTTCTTTCAACGTGCAACCTTACGGGGAACTGACGAAACAACAAAAAGGACGGCGCTTGATTCTCATTCCTTGACAGGCGATTCGATCCGCGCAATCGCGCGCGCAAATCTACGTTAACCGACGGATCGCTCTCGACCGTTAACACGCCCGCACAAACGGAGAAACGAACAAACGGAGAAACACCGCCCGCCCCCTCGGTGGCTGCGGTTTAAATGATCAGGGTCGGCGCGGGGTCACCCCCCCCGCCCGCTGCCAGATCCGGGACGATCCCGGCGATCCTCCCCGCTGTCCGTGTGGACCTGTACCGTGACGCCGGCGGCGGCGCCGGCGGCGCGGGAGGGCGACGCCGGACGCTCCGCGGTTCCCTTGCGTTTCCTCCCGCGCCCCCCTCCATCCTCCGGGGCCTCGGTGCCGTCCGCGGCGCCGCGCGGTCCGCAAGCCCCCCTCCCCGCTTCCTCGTCGGACGAATCGGCGGCCGCCCTCCGCCCGCCGTCGTCGCCGCCGTCGTCGTCGCCGCCGTCGTCGTCTTCGGCGGCGGCGACGTTCGAGGCTCCGGTCGTGGAGCCGAACGACGGCGCCGGCGGGCGTCCTGCCGGCGAGCGCAGCAGCGGCGTCGTCTCGGAGGCGTCGTCGTTGTTGTCGTCGTCGTCGTCGTCGCGGCCGCCGCCGCCGCCGCCACGCGCGCCCGACTCGGCGTCCGACTCGGACTCGGAGTCGGAGCCGTGCGAGCGCACCACCTTGCGCTTGCACACGGGGCAGTTCTTGCGCTGCTGCGTCAGCCACGGGTCCACGCACTTGCAGTGGAACGCTGCGTGTGCGGCGACAGCGGTGCGGTCGGCGGGCCCGCCGTCAGCATCATTAGCATCATCATCATCATCAGCAGCAGCAGCAGCAGCGTCGTCATCAGCTGCACCTTCGCGGCGTCCACGTCGCGCGCCCGCCGCGCGGTAACATCTCGGGGCGCGCTGTGGAGCGCGGAAACCCCCATCCTGGTGGTGGCAGCTGTCCCTGTGCGGCACGAGGTGCGTGCGTCACCCGGCGGCTTTGAGAAGGGTGCCTCAAAAATTTCGTCTGGAACGCAAATCCCAAAGGTAACAAAAATTCGAGCGTCGTGAGACGCCAAACAATCGCGCATCTCTATCTTGTCTGCATCTCTCTCTCACCTCACATTTTTGTCCACATGTCCCTTATCTCATTGCATCTCTATGTTTTGTCTACATTGCTTCTGTCATCTCCCCGAGGATATTTTAAAATTGAAGGCGGGGTGGGCCCGGGGGGCGCGTTTTCCATCCCGTTTTGGTCGTTGGAAAGGGGCAAAAAAATGAAAGACGGAACCAGCGACGCCCGGCCGAATTGGACTTTCAAAAAACACCAACGCTGACTTAACAAAGTTAATGTTCGGGAAAAAATACGTGTTTATCAAGATGGTAGTAATGACACGCAGAGCCCAGACATAATATCATTCCACCCGGCAGAGTCACCACGGTTGAAATAAATTTGACGGAAGTCTGAGTGTCTTTTCTCGATTCTTTCAGGGTCAACTTTTAGATCGATCGGTCATGTTCATGGTAATGGTAACATTTTGGTTGCATAGCGCAGTTAAACCTGTTTGAATAAATATGGCCTACCCCCTATCCCACCCGCTACGACGCACGGATCAGAAACACGACGTTCGTGGAGAAAACTGAACCCTAACGAAGCGCGGTGAGATGCACGCTCGGCATGACACACTGAGAAAGAGTGAAAGAGGAACGTGGTGTGGATTTGAGAGAAAAAAAATACGCAGGTTTAAAAAAAAAACGCTGGGTAAAAACTGTTCAGAAAAGTAAATGGGACTTGGGCACTCGTGAGCTCTGAGTGACGGCGGGCAACCGGTCAAGAGCAGTGCTCGAGTGGAAACCAAGGGATGGAACGAGCACGAGAGGAGACGGAGCGATGGAACCGGTTCATGTCAGGTGAACTCTTTCACTGTGGGATGTACGGATTGGGGAGGCGCTGAATTACCGGCTAGGGGAGGCGATGGATTGATCACGGCTCGACAGCAGAGGCTCAGGAACGTGCCTTTTCGAGTATTTTGGCTGGCTGCTATAAATTTCCACGCGATAAGCCACTCCCCCCCGTTGAGCTATCATTTGTGGTGGCCAGGTCGCTTCCGAAAAAGAGCTATCACATCTCAGTGGGCTTTAGCTGGTCAAATAAAAACAGTAGTAAGTAGAGACTTCATATACTTTGGCGGAGAGGCATGAATCACGCTGGCAGCCGTCACACGAAGTGCTCCGAGCCTTACGCAACGTTCCACTTCGTCGCTCGCACTCACTTTTTAATCTCGGGCCCCTTTATATTGTTCGCTCATGAACAGAAAAAAAAATTACATACAGTCCACTGCCTCTCTCGTTGGCACGGGGCCCCCTTCGGGAGCGTTTCATGTCTAGGCTTGCGAGCCGAGTGTGCTGCTAAGACGTTTGCCCGCCTGCAGCTCGCTTCGGGGAACGGCTAGGGCCACGTGACTTGCTCCGAACTGCAGAGGAGCTTGTCAAGCCATTTATTTACCACGCTTACCCATTACACGTTCGTTTAGCCGGGAAAGCTACGCTCAAGGTCCCATGACTGTTTGTAAGGAGGGTCCTGGCAAGTAATCTTTTTTGCGCAGTAGTGTATGCGAAGGTTGGTGTATATGCAGTATATATAAAAAAAATAACGTATTGGCGGTACACCGGTGGTGCACGGTATATTATACAATACTAAAAAACCTGATAATTATTTATTATCCCCCCCCCATTATTCGCAACCCCCAATCAAAAAATGTTGCGGGGTGCTGCGAGTCAAAACGAGTTCTCGCGACGTCGTTGCAGTGGGAAGGCGAATGTCAGTTCAAATTGTGGTGACAGACTCTTTCCAGACGGAGCCGGCGTGTTACGCTGCACCGGTGTACCGCCAATACGCCCGTACATGTGCGTGCGTGCGTGTATATATGTATATGATCCCAATTAAGTCATTTGCGGTGTAATTTTTCAAACTTGGACAATCGCGATTGCTGGCATGTACGTCTATGGAAGGGTGTGCAGCTGCTGCAGGAACACAAAACGGTGCTGTGAGCCTGGCAAACTCCGGTCAATCCTGACCATGGCAATGGGTATCCGAAACCGGGCCCTGGAGTCCTTTCGTTCAGTCAACTCGGCCCACAGCAATCCATCATCGTCATCGTCGTCGTCGGCCACGATCAATGCGTTGCCGGATGGAGGCCTCCCCTAAAGCCGTCGCCATCTCTCACGGTGCTGCGATTGCAAAGGCAAAGGAACTCCCGCGCATCGCCTTCAGGAGGCTGTTGGGCCAAGTGCGAGCGAGCACTTGGTCTGTGAAAGCGACACGGGGGGTTGGATCTTTGTGGCGTGAGCATACACGGCGATGACTTAAAACACCGGCACCGGCCGGCACTCAACGGCCGCCCGGCCGCGGTAGACAGGAAGTGCGAATAACGAGGCTGCTGCCATTGGTCCGGTATCTTGACTCCATGCCCGACGTCCTTCGAGCGACGATGCGCTTCGGCTGGGGGTCGGTTATGGCTGTGTTTGGGGATTCGGTCTCCCGGGAGGTAAATGTGGACTAATCTCGAGATACCAGGCACTGCACTGCGGGGGGTGGGGCGTAAGAAAATGCTATTGCCGATGAGATAAGGGGTGAGCTGTTACCGTTAGCGGCTGCGTTGGCACAGTCGGCGGTGTTGGTACTGTATTACAGTAACGTCATATTCTATTTGCATTAACATTGGCGTCCGCAAAACGAAAGGACTGCCAGCTCTCCAGGCCTGTGTGTCCAAGGTACCCGCTGGCCCCAAATAGCATTGGCCTCTGCCTGGCTGGGAGCCCCAATGGCCCACCGCTCAATCTACGGAAACCGTGGCCTGTCGCTTGCCACGGGGCGCATGGCTGCTCAGCTTTGATGGCCGACCACCTGCCCAGTCGTGAACCGCTGAGCTTTAATGTGAGGCCGCAGGTCTCTATGTGAGTTTGTGGGTCTCTGTGTGAGTCTATGGGTCTCTATGTGAGTTTGTGGGTCTCTGTGCGAGTCTGCAGGTCTCTGTGCGAGCCTGTGGGTCTCTATACGAGACCAACCCAGTAGTGAACCACCAAACTCTCATGTGAGTTTACAGGTCACCTGTGTGAGTCTGTGGGTCTCTACATGAGATCACGCAGTATTGAACCACTGTGAAAATTCAACAGAGACACTGAAGCAATCAACCACACATTCACTAAAGCCATTTCCTGGCTAACTAATCTAGACACAGACTTATGATCATCCAACCCCATATGCAAGAAGACCACCACGCCTCGTGGCAACACTCCCTCACAGGTGCAGCATTTAAAGATGCGGGCTCACTTAAGACAGTATGCAGGCAGTCCCCGACTTATGAACGGGTTTCATTCCAGAGACCCGTTCGTAAGTCGAACGGTTCGTAAGTCGGAACACAACATATACTGGATTTAAATGCACATACGGTCAGTGTTACATAATATGTTACGCGCGCACGCATACACGCACACTCAGGCTGAACGATTTGGGGAAAATATCTAATTGCGATTTTTCTGACAGATATTGCGATTTGTAATAGATTTAAAACACGTGATGGAGCATTACCACATGATACCATCAAAATATGAACTGTTCTATATATTATAATGCAAGGAAGAGAACTTAAAAGATATTAATTGCTTCCAACATGTATTTATCAAAATGTTTTAATTGAATAGAACAATCAAACATAGAACAATTGTTCGGTTAAATCAATAAAGCTATAATAATAAAAAAATAAAACAATTCCAATTAAAAAGCAAATAGGACTTTTCTAATCGCAAAAAAATCGCAGCCTTTGCGATTTGCTAACCGCATTGTTTCAAATTGCGATTAATCGATTTGAAATCGATTAATCGCTGAGCCCCAACGCGCACACAAACAGTCGCTCCCGGCGGGATGCTGAGACTCGCCGAGACTCGCCGAGACTCGCCGAGGATCGCCGAGGATCGCGGCGCCGAAACAAATAATCCCGCGGTTCGGTTCGCGAGGGCGAGTTCACGTTCGCAGGTTGGATTGTTTAAAAAAAAAAAAATACGCGGAATTCTCGTTCGTAAGTGCGGACGTTCGTAAGTTGGAAAATGCCTGGATAAGTGTATGGGGGGTTGGTGGGGGGGGGGGGGGGAGCGGTGGCTCAGCGGTTAGCGCACTGCGCTATGAACCCGGCGACCCGAGTTCGATTTCGGCCAACGACTAACAATCAGCGGCAAATGATGTCTGAAGCGATCGTGGGCTTCCCCCCCCCCCCCTTTCACCAACCCGGCACTGACCGGCATGGCGAAGTATGGTCAAATAACCCCCCCATGACCGACGGTGTGGGGAGAGAGTCCCATTTCATCCACTAGTGGATTCACAAATGGCTGAAAATTATTGGACAACTGCGTTTTAGTACTCTTTGGTTTTAATCGGTAAAGTCACGTAGATAAAATAAAACAAAATAAAAGAAGACAATTAAATCACGACGTTTCGGAGGCAACACAAGCTTCCGTCTTCAGGTGGAACAGTCACAGCAGAATATCTGTGTCAGGAGGTTTTAGTGTTTTAGTGTTTAATTTGTTGCCCTTCCCCCACACCTCCGTTGAGCACAGCATAGCTATATACGGTGCGAGAGAAGTTCAACATACGTACAATATTATATTGCAGCAGAGTATAATATACAAACTACAGTCTCTCAGAATCGGGACAACGAAGTGCTGTAAATAATGTTATTTTGTATTTTTAAAATGAAAATCGAGCGATGAGGATGCTGCCGCTGATGATGGCGATACAATTTACGGAGCATTGCATTGTCACGTTGGTGGCCGTGTATTCTCTGCGGAGGCACTGACCGTGAGCACAGGGTAGCACCCGGAGCCTCTCCCCTTCCTCGTACTCCTCCAGGCAGATGGCACACACGTCGTAGCTGTCCCCTGCACGGCCAACACAGCGGCACGCGGGCACATGAGCGACGACATCGCCGCCGACAACAACAACAACAAGCGGCAAAGACGTTTGACAGCGTCTCACGTACACACAGGTGCCTCTGCTTAAGGCCGAAACGGGAGGAGGATTTCTCCACAATTCTGCGGCTGTCGCCTGATGATGCTCCTTGTTTGTAATTACCGGTCACGGTACTCGAATTGTAGACGTTGTAGCGGGTTCACTCTCTAACACACGACCGGTAGGCGCTGAACTGGCAACCAACTGGCACGTTTTGTTCACGTGACACAAACCTTACGAACTTGGCCGTGCCAGGTGATGGTGGCGGGTTTCACGACACAGCTACATTTACGCGATCTAACCCCAAAAAAAACACAACCCTCCCCCCCCCCCCCCTATTATGTACACAGTCCAGGGGTCGGCGTCCAGGGGTCGGCGTCCAGGGGTCGGCGTCCTGTGGCTCCGCAACCGCGCGCGGCTCTTTAAGGACCGCTTCGCGTGACTTTATTTAAAAAAGGACCCACCCCGTCTCCCGTATTCACATCGCATTGCGGCTCTCGAGAAACATCGAGCTTTTCACCGAATTCGGAAGAACAACGGCGGCTCTGCTCGTCACTTTGGTTCATGACAACCCTCATGGCACGTGGCGAGGGCTTCACGTCTCTCGTTGAAGGTTTTATTTTTGTTATTCTTTATTTTCTTCTTTTCTCTTCTTCTTCTTCTTCTCCTTCTTCGGTCGAATTATTTGCTAAGGAGTGGTGGGGGTCCATGCATTGAGATTATATGTAGATTATTTTAGCTGCTATAAATGTCCAAATGAGGGGCCACTTTGTTGAGCTATCATGTGGTAAGGTCGCTTCTGAAAGCTAAGTGAATAACTAAGTGGGGTTTGTCTGGTAGGACGGGGATGGTTTAGTTGTATTTGTATGTGTTTGGGTGATTTGTTGACCTTTTCTCGTACTATGCACGGCTGTCGTGTTTTTGTAAATGTTCGTTGTTGTAACGTTGATACCCGCCCCGACTGGACATCTGCGAAAAAGAGCTTTGAAGCTCATCGGATTCCTCCAGAATAAATATTCAGATTTTGAAGGTAATTATATTTACAGTTCTAGGCAACAAGGTTGCGGGGCAATTGTTTTTGCCTTTTAGTTTTGCTTGTCTCTACAGAGGAGACTAACCGAGTCTCAAGACTCTTTTTCCCAGGAGGCTCCTGCCAAGTCTTAACAGTGGGGTGATGTTGCCGCTGTGTGTGATACCAATAGGGTAAATTTACAGGTAATTCTTCAACATTGGGATGTTTGGCCAATACTGTACCAGTTACACTGTACGTTTTTTTATTCGCTATAGGGGGCGGCGGGTGGGGGGGAAGACGGAGAACCCAGAAGAAACCCACGCAGAACAGCGAGAAGAGGAAACAAACTTCACACGCAAAAAGGCACCCCCAGGCTCAGTAATCGAACCCAGGCCATTCTTGTCGTGGAGGCCACAAGCGTTGCCACGGCGCCAGCCTGCCGCCCACATCCAGCGCGTTTTGACACCTCGCACACGAAGCTGGAACGCTCAATCGCCATCACGGCAGGGGTGACCTGCGTCAGCTCCGTCCGGTTACGTGCGACCAGGTGTAGTTATTTTACGAGTTTTTCCTCCCTCGTCGGGAAATGCGGGCAAAACGATATCTCTCTTGAATCACAGCCCTGATCAGCTGACATGCTACGCCCACTTCATGAAAAAAAAATGGAAAACCCCATCACGATTACAATGTTGATAAATACCCACATCTTTCAAGTGTCTCAAATGTAGTTAAGGCTCACTGACCTATGTAGCTCTTTTTCAGAAGCGACCCGGCCACAAATGATAGCTCAACGAATTGGCTTTTCACGTGGACATTGATACTCTCATGCACATTTGTCCAAAATGTGGAGGGGAAAAACCGGAGGACCCAGAGAGAAGTCCACGTGACCACAGGGGGAGAGAGAGACACGCAAACTCCAAATATACAGCAGCAGCAGGCGTCAAGAGTCGGGATAGAACCCACGACCTCATGCATACCAGGCGAGGTTGTTAACATCTCCTAGCCACCGTGATGATGATGATGATAGAGAGAGAGACACGCAAACTCCAAATATACAGCAGCAGGCGTCACGGTCGGGATAGAACCCAAGACCTCCTGCGTACCAGGCGAGGCAGACAACATCTCGCCACCGCGTCGCCCAATGCGACGGACCTGAGAACGGGAGAAGAAAAACGCGTACCGCCTTTGCAGAGAGTTCTCTGTTTAAATCCACCACCGATTACGTCCCCCCGTTGAAGCTTTCTGCGCTAAACGTCAGGCAAGGAAACTTCCTTCCCGAACTACCGGCGGTCAGCAACCCATCGACATTCCATCAGCAAACCTCCGCTGTTCATGGCGGCAAGGGGCGTACGCATGTTTATTTATTTATTTTTCAAGAGCCCCATACAGAACGCAAATGCGGGGTCTAAGTGAAACGTAAACATGATACGATTATTCGTGCGGCCATTAGTGACCACCAGGCTGACACCTTGGGTGCCACGGTGGCTATGAGATGTTAACCACCTCGCCTGGTATACAGGAGGTCGTGGGTTCAATACCGACACCTCCTGTATATTTGGACTTTGCGTGTCTCTCTCCCCGTGGTCGTGTGGATTTTTCTCCGGGCCCTCCGGTTTTCCCCTCCACATTTAGAATCGACGTGCGTTCATAGTGTATTGGGCTGCTCAATAAATTTCCACGTGATAAGCCACTTCTGTTGAGCTATCATTTGTGATTGCCAGGTCGCTTCTGAAAATGAGCTGTAGAGCTCAGTGAGGCCTTACCTGGAAAAATAAAAAAATACAATTTCAACTCGCTACACGAGATTAACCTGCTTTAATGAACGGTGAATGGTCACCCGGATTCAAACCCAGACCCATCAGAGGTGTTGGCTTGATGTTCCGATTATCATCAATCCTCGAGGTCTCCCACAGCCCGTTAAGATTAAGGCGTTCAAAACGCTTCTTGCGCCAAACCTCCATAAGTTTACGCTCACGGCGCGTTCGTCATCTCTCGTATGTTTAGTTAATCCGCAGACTTACTGCGCCAAGTCCGCAAATTTACACGCGGGGAAGCGGACGGAGATATCACTTTTAACGAGACCGCCAGAGCCCCTGATCTTCCCACTCAGGGAGCATCTGCATTCTGGCAATTGCACAATTGCACAAGTTCTTCATCTGGCAGCCAGAGCCAGGGATCACGTGACATTTAAACAAGTCGCCGTCCGCTCGGCTAACATCGCACACGCTTTCAGGTGCGCTTCTGCGGCCCTCTTGAACGCTCGTCCCTCCGATATCAGGAAGCCACTGGAGCTATGCACTTTTAATTCATCTCGATTGAAAGCGAATTTCTTTAGAACGACTTTTTGTGTTCAGTTCGTTGTCCTTCCCCCGCACCTCCGATTGGCACCGTTGGCTACGTACGGTGCGAAAGAAGTTCAACGTACGTACGACCGCACATGCCCCCCCTCGACGGCACCACACGCACCGGGGGCACAGAACGGGGACGCGGGGACGGTGAGACGGCGGAGCGGCTAGCGCGCGTTCGTCGAGTGTTTGTGGTTCGAAACCGGTGGCCGCCCTGGTTAATGCCGCGGGCTTGTCGACCGTAAAATTCTACGCGCCGTCTGGTTCTCGGCAAAGACTCTCGAAGATCCCGCGACGTCACTCGAGAAGAGAAACAACGGCGGCGGCGGCGGCCGCGCGCCGCCGGAGTCGAGCTCCGAATCTGCCCAAATTTGAAAATGCGCTCGCACGGTCATTGGGTTAAACCAACGGAGCATGTACGGCCCACCTACCGGCCGGCTGCGAATCGACCCGTTAAACGCAGCGCCGTGGCGATAGCCACGGTGTGCAAATACCAAACGTGCTCAATTACCGTTATGACGTTACGATTCAGCGCAGGGTACGCGGCGCTCGTGTTTTTTCCCGCAGCTTGGCACGAATGGCGCGAGCACTGAGACCCCACCCTGTGTGCTGAGTAAGTGCTGGCTGCAGCCGAGCCCTCGGCTCGCATGCATCCTGTTGATAATTCATGCCCGTCACCACTCCCCCAACCGCCCGCACCCAAAAGGGAACAGCAGTTCCATTGCAATCCTGGCTGAAGAGGAGGGGAGTAACCCACAGGCTTAGGCATCGCATGCGGGACACTTTCCCCACGAACGGGAACACTTAACGGGAGTCCAGCTCGTGACTGTGGTGGTGCGACATCTCCAATCGCATCATTCAAAAGGGGGGGGGGGGGGCGATCCGAAACAAATCCACGCGGCTGCTCTCCCCCGAAGCAGTCGGAACGGATATCGAACCTCGGCATCGATTTCTAATATTTTGCAATCCCCCCCCCCACCCACCCCAAATAAAAATGCCACGCGAAAGAAGAAGACCCAGAAAGCGCGCGATGGCATCGCATCTCGGAAGCTAAACGCAGAGGGTCGCACCCCGCACGGCGCTTGCACAACCGGGTAGCAAAGGCCGCAACAAAGAGGTTTTGTCACGGAGCTTTGCGGGGGGGGGGGGGGGAGCAGTGCAGCAAAGTCCGCCGCTGTACCACATTTGCTCCCGAGTCTTCGCTCACCCCACCCCACCCACCCCCAACTTCACCACCAACCCCCTGCACTGCCCCAGCATGGTGGAGCGTGTTCTAATACCCCCCCCCCACCCCGGTAGCTCGCCACACATGCGGAGGGGCCCTCGCCCAGCGGCGAATGTTAACAGCAAAGGCTGCAAGGTTGCAGCTGAACAACGTGGGAGTTTTGTCCGAGGCTGAACGACTTACACCCATGGTAGTTGCCCAGAAAAATGCATTTTAGCACGTACGTTAGATCCCCCCCACACCCAAACCCCGTCCTCCCCCTAGAGCAGGGGTGGGGAACCTTTTTTCTGCCAAGGGCCATTTGGATATTTATAACATCATCATTCGCGGGCCATACAATTATCAACT